AATTTGGGTGGGGAAGGACCTCTGGAAGTCCCTGGTCCAACCCATTGCTCAAAGCCAGGTAACTTCAAAGCTCAGGGCTTCGTCCTCCTCCCCCACGTGCTCAGCAGACCCCGCACATGGAGAGTGGGCCCTTTCCTCCAGCCCTGCCTGGTTTCTCCCACCCCATCAGCAACTCGTGTCCCCTGAACCTCCTCTTGCAGAGGAAGCCTCTTTGCTGTTTTCTCTCCTGCAAAAGGTCTCCACCTCTGCTTTGGATTTGTTGCTTTGTCTGCTGCCCAAACCCATTTCTTCAGCAGAGGTCTGCCTGTCCTCACCTCTTCTAGCAATCCCCTCTCTTGTTCCTCCCGTGGCCTCCACCATCCCTCCCAGCTGCCTCTCCCATTCGCATGTCAGCTCGTCCATGGGTTCTGCCAGGCAGTGCTCCATGCACCAACAGTTTTCATCTAGGACAGCTCATGGACAGCATATCCCACAGCTTTTACTTTTAGCTGGATTTTGCCATCTCCTCCAGAAAGGGTGAAAAGGGAAGGACAATGTCTTGCCTTCCACCCTGCTCTGCTCTTTTGCCAAAAAACAGTCTTTCTGTGAAGCCTCCCTGACCCAGCTGGTTTGGGAAGCCTTGTGCCTTGCTCAACCCTGTCCCATCATTTATGCTCAGCAGTTAATTAGCAGCAGTGATCAAAGGCAGGAAGTTTCCCCATGACCCCAGCCGGCTCCAGCTCAGCCCCTGCAACGGCAGCCAGCCCGGCCGCCCTCACCTCCCAGGACCTGCTGGCCCTCATCGCAAGGACCTGCTGGCCCTCATCGCATCCCCCCTCCTGCCTGCCCTCACTCAGGTTGCTGCCCCTCCTTGCTGCTGGGGGGGGATCCCCTCTCCCAGCCACCTCTCGGGGTGCAGCTCGAGGCCGGCTGGAGACTTCGTCGGCTGCCAGGGCATTTAACCTTGGCTGCAGCGCAGGGACGCGATCGGCTTAGAGAGAGGAATCCGCAGTCTTCAGCACAAATAGCTTCTGTTAATTTGTTCCAAATCAGATATATAATCAGTGTCATCACAAATCCTCTTACGTGTGCGCCTTCAGCCGGCGGCACCGTTTCCAGCGCTGCCTGGAAGGGGCCAACCCTGCAACCCGCTGCAGAAGCAGGTGGGAACCGTGACGGTAAGAGGGGCCTCTGCTCATTTCTGGGCAGCAAGCTCATCCTGGCTGCTCGCGCCCCGCTGAGGCATTTAATATTTTACTGTTATCTTCGGGAAGGAAAAGGGAGAAGAAAAATGAAGAATCAGAGAAACTGTATTTTAATGTGCATCCTATGAGGGTAACTCAGGGGACATTAATTCCAGAAACCTTCTTTCCTGTAACCACAGCTACCAGCTGAGGTGGGACAGATTTGGGAGAGAAATGTCTCGGTTCCTATCAGCTAATCTGGTGATTGTGCGGCAATTAAAGTAGACCTGGGCTTGCTGGTGAGGGACAGCATCCTCTAAATCAAGCCCCCAGCTACACCCATGGTTTCCCCTTAGGGACACGGCTGGGTGAACCGAGCAGAAGCTGTCTGCCCAGACCTCCTCTTACCTGGACACCTTGAACCTGGGGAAGGTGATGCTGTTCTTGATGAACAAGGTGAACTTCTCTGCTTCTGACAACAGCGCAGGGCTGAAAAAAACAAGTGTTGGCATGTGTCCATCACTCAGCTCCCCAGCCTCTAGAGAAAGCCTCATTTGGTGGAGATTCATCCAAACTGGGACAAGCAGGATCCAGAAAAACTGGTGATCTCATCCCTGCCCTTTCTAAGTGAAAGATCCCAACAAGGTTCAGAAAAGCCCCAAGGAAAGAGGGAAGTGCTTGTTAGGGGACAGAGATGGAGTTAGGTGCTGGGATTTCAGTTAATAAACCCCAAAAGCACAGTGAGGTGGCTGGAAGAGAGCTCAAGGGCCCTGGGTGCTTCCCTGGGCTCCTTGGCAGACCCATGGCTGTCCCTGTGGCCCCCTGCGAGGCGGGGAGGCAAGGAGGAACAGGACTTTGCATCTACCAGGAGGTGCTTCACAGTAGCCCAGGGAGGCTGGAGGTGAAGAACATCTCACGGGCAGAGTACAACTTTACTCTGAAGGCAAACAGGATAGAGGGGGGCTGCTGGTCCATGCACAGAGCACCCAGCAGAGATGGAGTGAGCCACCAACGAGGTGGGGAGCAAACCATGCCAGGAGAGGCACAAGCCCCCTGAGGACACCAGGCAGCATGTACAGCCATGGAATCTGCATCATGGGGCAGCAACCCGCAGAGCCCCAGTTTGCTCTGCCCTACAGCGAGTGCTGCTGGTGCAGCTGGGGTGGGACCGGGGTGGAGAAGGGGGCAATGACCTCATTGCTTACCTGGGAACATGGTCATCAACTTCAACGGGGCACCAGCCAAAGATCTCACAGGTTTTCACAGAGCTGTTGAAATGCACACACTTGCCCGTCATGAGCCCTGTGGGGAAGGGAGACGGCTGCTCACACCCCTGTATACTGGGAAATCCCAGCCTCACACTGGGATGGATGGGATCTGGTTGAAGCTTCAGCCCTGCCACAGACATCCAAGGCACAAAACACTCAGGGCTTTGTTGCCCCTTTATAAAAAGGGTAATTAATTGTGGCCTCTCAGCTTGGGGCAGTGGTTTCTCTTGCACTATTGTACAGGGGAGCAACTGGGCATTTTTCTTGCCAAAATACACCTCAGAAAATGCCTAGCTGTTAGAAAGATAGCAGTTTGGGGAAAATGTTTTAATATTGATTGACCTTTTGTTGGGAGAGCTTTTTACAGCTCAGATCTCTTTTGGAAGAGGAAAGCAGGACCAGCCCAGGTGGGACCCTCACCCGGGAGAGGCTTTTCCCAAACCCCATCAGCTGGTGGTCCAAAGCAGGTCCCCCTGCCAGACACCCCAGCCCTGCGGCTTCGCCGGAGCACGCTGTGCTCAGCACGTCTCACCAGAAACGCCGGTGCCGGAGCCTCGGGGCCCTGCGCCGTACCTTGTCCCTGGCGGCTGTATTTCCCTTTGCTGCAGTCGCTGTCCCGTGAGCAGAGCCCGGCGTCCGGCAGCTGTTTGGAGAAAGCAGGCAGCCGCCTCTCAGCATCTCACCCCGCGGTTTCGGTCCCTCTGTCCCTCCTGCCTCACCACGCTGCCTTTTCCCCAGGGGACATGCTGCTCGGCTGCAGCCAGAGCCTCGTCCGTACACCGCTTCCCAACCAAGGATGTCCAGATTAAGCAGGAAAAAGGGGGGATTTCTTTTTTAAACTCAGGCAGATGCTTTTATTCAAGCCTTGAGCCTGCTCTGCCTGATCATCTCTAAGGGAAGAAAACTTAAATGGATGCTGGCTGTTTTTCAGCAGAATAAAAGTCTTCACATAGCACTTGCAAGTCAGGAACGATAATATGGGGCCAGGCTCAGGCTTTCACCAAACCTCTCAATGTCAGGAAAACTTCCCCAGTGCCACCACACAACCCCCCTAAATTGCAGAAGCTGAGACCGCTGAAGGAAGCCAGTGTGTTTACCTCCGGGCAGGTTCCTTGTTTCTGTCCAGGGGTGACAATGAAGTTGGTCATCACCACGAACGAGTTGTCCCCCTGCAGAGACACAGCCCACAAGCTCACAGCTGGCACGGCATTTTCTGGTGGAGTCTCTGCAAGGAGCTTCTCCCACCGGGGCATGTCCAGGCAGGTGGCACCTTTCTCCCAAATTTTTGATTCTCCGCCCTCCTCCGCCACAGCTTGGGAAGCTGGTGGTGGCCCTGGGGAACTGCAGTGCCACCAGCCCCAGGGACAGTGAAGGACCCCCCTTGCTGCCTGAGATGCTCGTCTGGAGGCACCGGAGGAGACTTGATCCTTTTGGAGGCAGCCTCAAACGTGCCCCATCAACCATGGTGAGTCCCAAGCACCGAATGCTCCCCAGGGGTGATATGTGGGTAGAGGTTTGTGGCAGGAGCAACCTCGGGCACCACAGGGACACCATGTCATGGCTGGCCCCATGGAAAGCCTACGCTGAGGAGCCCATCTGCACCCCAGCGCATGGGTAAAAGCACTGGTCGAGACAAAAGCAACACCCCCAAACCCACCCACACTGCCTCCTTACCTGGGGTGGGAAAACATAATCCACCACGTCCCAGATGTGAGGGCCTATGATGCTCTCGTTGGTCAGCGTCAGGCCTTTCAGCTTCACCGAGACCGAGCTAACGATGCTGTCCTGAGATTGGTAGCCCTTCTCATAGAGGAAGACCCACCTGGATGGGGAAAGGTGGTGGGGTGAGCATGGCCACCGGCGCTCATCCGCAGGAGACCCAAGTCTCCGCACATCGCTGTGGACTGGGGCTTCTCCTACCAAGTCTCACCTGGGAGTTTTTTTGCCAAATTTCCTCCAGCTGGATGAGGGACGTGTTGCTGAGCTCTCCCACCCTTTGCTCGAGGCATGCTGTAGCTGCAAGACCTGACTTCCACGGTGGGATGATTTATTTTGGGGACTGGGACACATTTTGTGGTTGAGGGTATGTGAAGGCAGGTGGAGCAGGGTGGCCATCGGCCATTTGAGATTAAAGCCTATGCTGAGTTTGCAGCTTGCTGGTCTGGGCAACCCACCTGGACCCTCCTGATCCACCTCATAGGCACTCTCCAAAAATCAGTGCCTCCAGGGTCAAGACAGGGGTAAGTCTGGACATGGCTCACGTCCAGGGCCACCGTTCCCCGTCCAGCAAAGGGAACCGTGGAGCCGTGGCCCTGGGTGCAAAAGGGCTGCAGTAGCAGGGTTGGGGACACTGCTGTGGCTGGCACGGGGCTCTCCCTGCGTTTCCCAGCCCATCGTGCAGCCATTAGGGCTGGCTCCTGACACTATTTAACCTATGGCATAAACAAGCTGCCGCTGGATTAACTCTGGCTCAGGGAGACTATAAACACGGGTGAGCAACCATTTCGGGTAGCGCTCCCAGCAGCGCGGAGCGTTCCCGGCACTAAAAAAGGAGCGATCTGGTTTTCGTCCCCCCCGCCGCGGCACCGGTCCCGCTGCCCGCGACAGAGGCAGCACGCTGCCC